TCTCTCTCTCTCTCTCTCTCTCTACCTATCTATCTATCTATTTATGTTTGAACTGTGAAGTGTCCAGCAGCATACCTAGAGAAGTGCCAATCATGTCTGCCATACCCTCCCTTTATAGCAGGGTGCCTTTCGCACTACTGTTAGCTGTCTCTATGCCTTAGTAGTTAGAGACATTCATCATCATGCGGGGGCTTCCTCGCTCACGAGGAGGTGTTGCTGCACCTCACAGTCTGTGGCTCGACGTTTCATTCCAGTGCGATTAGGTAACATCTCCCGCTTTGATCCTTGATGTATGATTACTGTTACCATGATAGTGTATGTGTGTCCCTTCCTGTCTGCCCCTTGCTGTCTGGATTGCCACTGATCTCTGGCTTGGTCCCTGCTTGCCTGCCTGCCTGCCTGCCTGCCCCGCCGTATTGTGCACCAGTGACCTTGCTGTGCTCTTGTCTGCGCGCCCACCCCTGCACCCGCCCCCCGGGCCTTCCTCGCTCGTGAGGTAGTGTTGCCGCACCTCATCCACTTTGATGCTTGCTGTATTAGTGTTGTTACTAGTGTATATTCTGTGTCTGTTGCTGCCTGCCTTGCTGCTGCTCTCTGCCTTGTCCTGTGCGTACCTGCCTTCCTCAATTGTGCGCCTCGCTGTGTGCTAGTATGCACGCGCGCCCGCCCGCTCACCCGCTCCCCTTCCTATATGCTGCCCGGTGTATACCATGCTGTGTGAGTTGATGCCTTGCTATACATCTGAGAGCCCTCCTCACACTTGCTATCAAGGGGGTGGGCATGCCTCGCTGTATTGTTGTGTACTCGCCTTCCACCTGCCCATCTGCGTGCCCCTTGCCTTGCTGCAAGCTGCGCCTTGTCCATGCCCCACTCTGTGCCCCGATGTGTTCGTCCCCTCGCAACAGGGTTTAGAGCAATCATACCCACCCAACCGCCTGCCCCTTGCCCTACCAGCTGTGCCTTGTCCATGTCCCACTGCGTGCCTTGCTGTGTCCTTGCATGCACGTGTGCCCACCCGCTCGCCCACTCGCCTTGTTATATGCTGCCCAATGTATACATGCTGTGTGAGTTGCTGCCTTGCTATTGCTGGGCAGCCCTCACGACTGAGATCAAGGGGGTGGGCATCCCTCGCAGTGTTGCTATGTACTCACCCGCCCGCCTACCCACCCACCCACCTGCCCGCCTGCTCACCCCTTGCCTTGCTACAAGCTGTGGCTTGTCCATGACCCACTGCATGCCTTGCTGTGTTTGCCCCCTCGCAACAGTGTCCAGAGCAGTCATACGCACCCACCCGCCTGCCCACCCACCCGCCTCTTGCGTTGCTGCAAGCTGTGCCTTGTCAGTGCTCCACTGTGTGCCTTGCTGTGTTAGCCCCTCGCAATCGCAACGGGGTCTAGAGCAGGTTACAACTCGGATCATGGTCAGGGGATCCTCTGGTTGAGATGCACTCCTTTCTCCCACTGATTGTGCATCAGTCCTACACTGCAATTGATTCGCATTCCAGCTATTAATCATCGTTCTTTACTCTTTTTCTCAGTCTTGATAGCAGCTTTTTTAACTCCTCCAGACATTTTTGGTTTCAATTTTTGTGTGTTTTAACCTATTTATGAACTTGTGATAGAATTAGCTATATTTTATGCTTTTATTTGGCAAATTTCTCAAGACAAAATAGCTGACAGATCTAATATGGAGACTTGAAGGATAAGAAACATCACATCATTCTGACACTCCAGACAAACTTGAACACAAACAGATCGAATGCTGATGAATTGGTTCGCAACAGGGTTCAGAAACTGATGAGTTGGTGAGAGTCCAGCAAACAACTCAGTCTCTACTCCTATGTTTTCTCTGTGCCTTATCTTTATGTCTTGCCTGATTCTACACACTGTATCTGGAACTGTGTGAACCTTGGCGGATATGAGCTGTGGCCAAAACCAGCAGCAGAGTGCTCGTTCATTGTCAACGAAACTGGCCAAAACACACACACAGTCTGTACTTCGAACTACTCCGTGCATACCGATGCGAACCGGCGTCCTCATCCTCAAGAGCCAAGTTTCTTAACCACAACAGCCAGGGCCTGGTGTACAAAAGTGGGAACCATACCGGTTGTGGTATCCACCCCACCCAGCATGGCTGTAGTGTCCTTACCGTACTCCACACACACACAACAACAACAGCAAGGCAGGTGCCCACCCAACCCCTGCATGGCTTTAATGTCCTTACCGTACTCAACACACACACACTGACACACACACACACAATAAGACGCAGGCAAGTGTCGCACACTGGCTCTATCGAGCACATGACTCCAAACCACGAGGGCACTCAGCCGCATCCACAACGTCACACAAGGGGAGGAAAACCCCAATGGCCACCACATTCCTGGTGTGATTTCCAGGCTGGTTATTGGGCTCGAGTACAGTCTGTACGTTTCCGGCTTTGGACCTCCTCTGTGCACACACGGATTGGAACTAGCGCCCTCAGCCTCAAGAGCCGAGTTTCTCAACCACTACAGCCATGGCACACACACGTGCGCGGACGATGCTCTCTCTCTCTCTCTCTCTCTCTCTCTCTCTCTCTCTCTCTCTCTCTCTCTCTCTCTCTCTCTCTCTCTCTCTCTCNCTCTCTCTCTCTCTCTCTCTCTCTCTCTCTCTCTCTCTCTCTCTCTCTCACACACACACACACACACACACACACACACACACAAAATCAGTTTTATGTCTCACCTATTTTTAAAGTAAAAATCATTCTTTTTTTTCTTTTTTTCTTGCCAATATTATTTTTTATTTTTTTTTTATTGGAAGATAGTAACTATTTACATGTATAACTTTGACTTGAAATATATATAAATAAATCTTCATATGAATCCAAATTATGCTATGAAGTATAAAATTCATTGATATATTAATATTTTCATAATTCATTCAGAAAGGTTATCGTAAAATGGTATCAAATAGGGATGATTCCAAAAAAGATTTAGAGTTTCCTATTCTTGGAATTAATACCTGTTGTATGTCCTCCCTCATAATTTTTCAAAGTTTTTTTTGTGTGCCCAACTGAGCGCCCTTGAGCAGTGCCAAACAGTCGGTGGTTCCTCGTGTGGAGTGCCTACTGCACTCTTAGGGCGGCCTCTCGGTTCGGGGTGTCCGTGTTGCCTGTGGGTGATGACGGATGCTCGTCGGAGTGACTCTCTGGCTCAGTGGGTGGTGGGAACCAACAGTCTGCGGGGTTCAATCGTGATGTGAGTAGGTCATGTGCTGCTTTGCTCCGTGTTGGATGTGTGGACTGCCTCGTCTGCGCTCTGCCGGCGCCTTCCTGCCTGTCCCGCTGGCTTCGCATGTGGTTCTCTGTAAATTGCTGTGTTCGCTGCGTGGAGTGGCTGTGTTGTTGGTGTTGCCTTGCGCTTCGCTGCTCCGCTGCCTTGCTGCTCATCCGCTGGCCGTGCCTTCCGTGTTTGCCACTTGTGTGCCTTGTAGGTTGGTTGCCTCGTTGCTGGTGCCTTGTGCTCTGCTCCATGGTTGCCGAGCTGCTGGCTTCCTCGCCCTGTTGTCCCTTGCAGTGTGGTTGCCTTGCTTGTGTTGTCTTGTCCTTCACAACAAGGTTGCGGCGCTGCATGTCCCTTGTACCATGTCGTTCCTTGCAGTCGTTTTTGGTGTTGTGCAGCCATGTTGCCTCTACTGTGTTGCCTGGTGCTCCACAGGGTTGCTGCCTGCTGCTATGTTCCACTTGGGGACAGTCTGCCTTCAACAAGGGTCAAAGGGTTCCTGATCCAAACCATCAAATACGGAGATTGAGCAGATTGTAGAGGGTTCAGCCTCCTGATGAGTCGGTGCAACTCCGACGAACCAATCTTGTTATCATCAGTTTTATTTTTTTCGGTCTTTCGTGTTTTCAGATTTGGAGTGTTTTTTTTTTTGCTTGTTTCATGTGCTTGTGCCGTCTGCCCTCTCGCCTCCTTTGTGCATAGAGGCTCCTGCCTTCACTCTTTGTTGTTGCTTGTCAGCTGATACCTTGTTGTCCTATGCCATTGCGTCACTTGTGTGCCCACCCGCCTCCCCCTTGCCCTCCAGCCTTCGCCCGTTGTTGATGCCGTATGCCTTTCTCCCTTGCTGTCTTTTTTCTGCCTTCCCCTAGTTGCTGCGTATTGTTTGTTTCAGCTCACGGCTTAGTGCCCTCGGGCTCCAGACCTTCTGTCTTTTGAGGAAGGTCAGTGAGGTTGTGCATACCCAATCGAATGGAATATCCGCTTGGATCAGGGTGTGATTAGTTCGATGCTGTGATGTCTGTGCTATTGGCATTATTTATGTTGTGTTGTATATAAATGCGGCTTGTTGCATCGCGAGGTGCAATGGACTCATCTCTCACCAAACACACACACACACACACACACACACACACACACACACAAACAAACGCAAGTGTGCAGATGCATGCAGACACACACACTGCTTTGCTTCGTGCTGCATTTCATGCTTTTCCGAACAAGTCTCTGAGACTGTATAAAAGACAGACAGCCTGCTGCAATCACTCCCAGTGCATGGACAAGGCCTCTCACCCCCGTCTGGGGAACCATTGGGGAACACATCAAAGGAAATGAAAATGTCCCCTCCCCTCAGAGTGTTGCACGCAGTACCTTCGACTGCATAAACAACACACCTTGCATGCTTCAGCAGCTAATGCTCAGCAGGCATATCACAGTATACTAGCACTTCTTCCCTCAGCAGGCCACTGCTATGGTTTCCGTCGCATCGACAATGCTCCTTGCATTTTTCAATTCCTCCGTCCCTTCCACAGATGGATCCTCCTCTGCTTCAGAAAGTAGAGACTCTAGGTCTTGAAGAGCTTTCACAAGCCTTTTGCGGCAATCCGGGATCATCATTCGAGACTCGGCAAGCACGTTTTCCTGCTGCTTGATGTCAAAGGGATCCGCCCCCTCTGCTTTCATCTTGTCTGCCTTGGCCTGCTCTCTCGCAACTTCCTTCTCATACGACTGAAGCTCTTTCGACACCCTCTTGTACACATCCGTCTTACGCTTCAATTGCTTCTTCATATCCATCTCAGCGAACCCTCAGAGAACTGTTCCAGACAGAACAAAGCAACTTCACACAGGGTGAACGGAACAGACTTCCTTTCCTCTCCCCCCCCAATGCTCCGTCACTAACCAACACACCTCGCTGCTGTTTGTCCCCTGCACTGATCCTATAAAAAAGCAGCAGCACCCAAAAACAAACAAACAACACCCGTGCTGCTGAGATGATGAAATTGCTACCAATTACTTAGTAGAGACCAGTTGCTTGCTTGTGCAGGAAAGGGCGTTGTCAAAGACAATTCTACTTAGCAACCCTCAGTGTCACGTTCAAAAAGAAGTGAGGGCGGCTGTCTACTGCAACAAAAATTAGACACTAAAAGAACGGAGAAATACCAAAGAACTTACACATTTGCCTCTCAACTCGTCATTTCGAACATGAATCCACAAGCTCGTAGTCACCGTCAGGGATTTCATCAATGTCAGCATTACCACAGAGAGGGGGGGGGAGGGGGGGGTGAATATTTCTTGATGTTCTCATGACATAGAAAGATAGCAAAAATCATTCGAGTAAAGGGGAGGGGAGGGGAGGGGAAGGGAAACAATGGATTGGTCAGTAGCCTTACGACACCGGCGACATGCTCCCATACTTCACATCAAGGCTTCCACTGCATAATATATTAATCAGTGCCATAATCGGTGCAATAAGAGGCCTCCAGGTTCAAAAGGTCCACCATTCTCTCTCTGTTCCACCTAAAGGAACCACCTACCAAAGACACAGTCATAAATCGAACACCTCCAGGTTCAAAAGTCCACCATTCTCTGTCTGTTCCAGCTAAAGGAACCGCCTATTAAAGACAGAGTCATAAATCGAACAGGGACAAAACTGGCTGCGCCAAGGAGACACACTTGGAACCACAACAGATTCACCCGAATAAAACGCCCCATAGTTATCGCTGCACGTGGACCGACAGGTGCGCCAAATACAGCTATAATGACCAGGTGTTCTATTTGGGTGAAGATGGAAGTTCCTAACATTATGAGACGCATCAGAGTTCCTTCAGGTCACAAGCTCATAACGCTGTGACACGCACAAGATGCTGTGAAGATGTCATATGGAGAGACCTCCGTAGCAAGGAATCCGGTGCACACTAACAGATACAGCAGAAGTTTGTGGAGCTGCAGAAATCCACAGCTGCGCAGGCAAGAGTCAGCGCCTACCGGAATGGATATATAACGGCATGATATTTGGAAATGCGAGGCACAAGGCCTCGATAAGCCCTACTGGGCACGTATTTGCAACAGCGTCGGCCGCCCTAAGTGAAGGCAGGCCCAACAGACCCTAAGAGGCCTAATTTGGACTACTTCGCAACTGGGGAAAATTCAGGCAGTTGCGCAGCGCCAGTTGGTTGGAAGCGCCCAGGCCCTGGCCTCTTTTATCAAATGCATCTGAGTCAGGCCCTGGGCGAGATTCGCAGCATAGGCCCAACTCAGGCTGTGGGCAGTTGGGCACAGGTAACTGTCGGTGGCCCTGGGCCAATTCGTCTGGTCTGAGGCTCAGCCTCCCTGGGCCTACCGGAAGCTTCTGGGCAGAGGCCCAGCACAGCCAGGCTGAACGCCCGCAGGCTGGCCATTTCCACATAGGAAAGGGACAGCCCACGCTGGAGACATTCAGGCATTGGCTGCTTTGTGCGCAAGCGCTGCTGCGCTATCGCCTGCCAGGCTCACGCGCTCACGGGCGAGCTGGAAGGAGCAGGCAGCCATAGCCAAGCTGCGCTGCTGTATGCTGGATGCGGCGCATGGTGGTCCTTTTGCATGGGTCCTGGGGACCATCTCACGCAAGAGTGCACATGTCATGCATCATCCTCACACACAGTGATCACGAATCTCACACATTAGACAAAGGTAGAGGAGGAGAGAACCGAGTTCCACCACTTATATTATCCCAAATATGATTACAAAGTGTTTCAAAGTTCCCCTGTATCAGCGCAACACAAATCTCTTGTCCACTC